AGATAGACAGGCCGACAGACAGACAGACAGACAGACAGACAGGCAGGCAGGCAGATAGACAGATAGACAGACGCGAACGACGACGACGACGACGACGACAGTCGACGACAATCGAAGACAAGGGCGGCGACGACGGACGACGGCGGACGACCGACGACGACGACGATGACGACGACGACGACGACGACGACGACGACGCGACGACGATGTCGACGACGACGACGGACGAAGGCATCCAGAGGCAACCGGGGGCACAGAAGGAGCCACACCCAGTACTATGCACAACGCCAGGACATTTTGAAAAACGATGGGGAGGACGATGACGACGACGACGACAACGACGACGACGACGACGACGACGACGACGACAACGACGACAGCGACGGCGACGGGGACGGGGACGGGGACGGACGACGACGACGACCACGACGACGACGACGACAACGACGACGGCGACGACGACGACCACGGACCGCCCAAAACCTCCCAACACCTCGGTGACGAACGACGACGACAACGACGACGACGACGACGACGACAGCGATCGACGACGACGACGACGACGACGACGACGACGACGACGACCGCGGCGAACGACGAGCAGCGACCGCGGCGAACGACGAGCAGCGACCGCGGCGAACGACGGCGGACCGCAGGAGGCCCAGGACGACGACGGCGCCGGACGCCCCCGCAGGCGCCCGGCGGCAGGCCGCGGCACGCCTCCGCGCGCCAGAGGGCGAGCCCGCCGCGGCCGCCAGGCGGCCGCCGCCGCCGCCGCCGCCAATCCAGCGCGGGCCGCAGTCGACCATGAACCCCTCGTTTCGGCCTGCTCCTCCTCCTCCTCCTCCTCCTCCTGCTCCTGCTCCTGCTCCTGCTCCTCCGCCTCATTCTCCTCCTCCTCCTCCTTCTCCTCCTCCTTCTCCTCCTCCTCCTCCTGCTCCTCATTATTTCCTCCTCCTCCTCCTCCTTCTCCTCCTCCTGCTCCTGCTCCTGCTCCTGCTCCTCCTCCTCCTCCTGCTCCTGCTTCTCTTCCTCCTCCTCCTGCTCTCCTCCTCCTCCTCCTCGTCTCCCTCCTCCTCCTCCACCTCCTCCTCCTCCTCCTCCTCCTCCTCCTCCTCCTCCTCCTCCTCTTTCTTTTTCCTAATAGATCATTCCTCCTTGTCGCCCCCCGAAACCAGTCGGAAGGGGCCAGGCGTTTCGATTGAGACGTGCTTACCATTCATGATCCTCAAGCTCAATTTATGCTACCAGAGTTCCCCACTAATGATGTCAGAGTGGGGCATAAGTGGGAAAGCGTGGTGGGGCCTCTGTGGGCGCGCTCGGGGCCTCTGTTGGAGCCTCCCTGGAGGAGCGGGAGTACTACGAAGCTGTGTAATTATGCTACCGGAGTTCCTCACTAAGGATGTCACAGTGGGGCCTAAGTGGGCAGCGTGGTGGGGCCTCTGTGGGCGCGCTCGGGGCCTAGGAGAGAGCCACATATTGAATACGAACCGCCCTCGATACGTACAACTCTCGCAAGTGATTTAAAGCATGTGCGCTGCGCTGGGGCGACGGCCACATTTTGAGAACTATCCGCTTTCAATCCGTGAAAAAATGACTGTGCGCGGAGCTAATGCGAGCGCCACAGTTTGAAAACGACCCGCCCTCAATTCGCGAAATTATTGCAACTGTTTAACAAGTGTGCGCGGGGCTAAGGCGAGAGCCACAGTTTGACAACGACCCGCCCTCCATCTGTGAAATGGTTGCAAACGTTTAAGCTTCAGGGCCATAAATGGTTAGGAAGTCTCAGGCAAAACGCTCGGCCCACCCCTTTTCGATTGGCCCCGGGATGCGACACGGGTAAGTCAGGAAAGGGAATAGAGGAGGAGGAGGAGGAGGAGGAGGAGGAGGAGGAGGAGGAGGAGGAGGAGAAGAGGGCGCTCTGGGAAAACAAACAGCCCCACTCAGGACGCATGGTGTTCCGATACCCTCCTCCCTCAGACGGGGCCTCCTTGGAGGAGCGGGACAGGCACGAACCGTTGTAAATAGTATGGTGTTCCGATACCCTCATCGCTCTGGCGGGGTGTCATTGAATGGGTGGGAGAGGCACGAAACCTTCTAGATAGTCTAGTTCTCCCATACCCTCCTCGCTCTGGCGGGGCCTCCCTCGAGGGGTGGTCATCCGATACACTCCTCGCTCTGGCGGGCCCTCCCTGGAGGAGCGGGGGGGGCACGAATCCTTGTAAATACCATGGTTCTCCCATACCCTCATCGCTCTGGCGGAGCCTCCTGGAGGGGCGGTAAGAGAGTCACGAAACCTTGATAAATACTGTTGTTCTCCGATGCCCTCCTCGCTCAGGCGGGGCCCCTGGAGGGGTGGGAGGGCCCCAAAACATTGTAAATGGTAAGACTTTCCCATACCCTTCTCGATCTGGCGGGGCCTCACTGGAGGGGTGAGACATCACGAAATCTTGCTAATATCATGGTTTTCCGATACCCTCCTCGTTCATGTTGGGCTTCCCTGGAGGGGCGGGAGGGGCACGAAATGTTGCAAGCAGTGCGGTTTTCCGATACCCTCCTCGCTCAGGCGGAGCCTCTTTGGAAGGGCGAGGGGGCACGAAACCTTGTAAACAGTACGGTGCTCCAATACCCTCCTCGTTCAGGCGGGGCCACCTTGGAGGGGTGGGAGGGGCACGAAGCTTTATAAGTTGCGTGGTTTTCCGATACCCTTTTCGCTCTGGCGGGGCCTCCCTGGAGGGGTGGGGGTGGGAGGGGCATAGAACTTTGTAAACAGTATGGTGTTCCGATACCCTCCTCGCTCCGGCGGGGCTTCCTTGGAGGGATGGTAAGAGAGGCACGAACTTAGTAAACAGTATGGTTGTCCGAACCCCTCCTCAGAGAGGCACGAAACCCTGTACAGTGAACAGTATGGTCATCCGACACTCTTTACCGTTTCGGCGGGGCCTCCCTGGGGGGGTGGGAGAGGCACGAAGCCTTGCTAATAATATGATTATCCGATACCCTCGCTCAGGCGGGGCCTCCCTGGAGGGGTGGGAGGGGCACGAAATTTGTGCAAATTGTTTCTTTCCTCGCTCAAGCGGAGCCTCCCTGGAGGAGCGGGAGGGGCATGAAACCTTATAAGTAGCATCCCTCCTCATTCGGGCGGGGCCTCCCTGGGGGAATGGGGGGAGGAGGAGGAGGAGGAGGAGGAGGAGGAGAAGGAGGAGGATAGGGCGTTCTGGGAAAAGTACAGCCCCACTCAGGATGTGGGGGCTGACAGCAGTTCAGCGGGTCGCTTCCAAAATGTGGCTCTCGCCTCAGCGCCGCGCAGTCGTTGCTAGAAATTGCAAGAGCTTCACGGGTTGTGGGCGGGCCGTGTTCGAGACGTTGGTCTCGCCTCAGCGCCGCGCGGATTCGTTCTAGGAATGTTGTTGCAGAGGCTTTACGGATTGAGGGTTGCTCTCGCCTTGGCGCCGCGCCTGGAGGCCTGGACCACTGCCCCGGGGCCGGCTTACCGGCCCGAGCCGTGGATCGACGGCCCCGAGGCCCGGCGAGTGCCCCCAAGAGGCGCCCGGCGGCCCAGAGCCGCCCGCCCCAATTCTCTTCGCAGCGCCGGAGCTCTGGGGCCGAGCCTCTCGCCACGGCGGCAGGGGCTCTCGCGAGCGCGCCCCGCGCCGCCGCAGAGGGCTCCCGCACGCCGCCAGAGGCGCCCCCGCCGCCCGCGCGGCCCGCGGCAGCGCTGCGGCCGAGGGCCGCGCCGCGCGGGCGCGCATGGCGCTGGCGGCGCCGCGGGCCCCGGCCGCCGGGCCGCCCGGCCCGGCGCTGCGCGCAGCGCGCGCAGCGCGCGCAGCGCCAGCGGAGTTCGGGGAAGACTCTTCGGCTTCGAGGTGCGAGCTTCTCGGGCGTTTCCGTTGGTCCTCGGCGGTCTTCCAGCTTCGGGCGGGCGTGCCCTCCAGCAGCTGCGCCCCGCCGGGAGCGTGCCGGGGGTGCCCGGATCGTTCCGAGAGGCCGCGGGGGAGCCGAGTGAGGATTCGAAAGCCAGGGCGCATCGGCCCTGGGGATCGGCTGGGAGAGGGGGGAGCGCAGCGACCCCCAAGCGCCAACTCATCGGTCGAGGGCCGAGCGCCCCACCCCGCCCAGGAACGTTCGCAGCCGCTGCTGGGGGCCCCTCGCCGATGCATCGGAGAATGCACCGCCGATTCCAGGTGTCGCCGCGCCTGTTGTTCCGACGCGCGGCCTTTCGTCTTGGGGAGGGCGCTTCGGCCACCAGGGCGAGCTCTGCCTCGGGCGCAGGGCCTGCCGTGGGGTTTTCCGCGCCGCCGCCGGCGTCTCCTCGGGCGCGGGGCGCAGGGCTTTCCGTGGGTTTGCCGTGATGTCGGCGGCTTCCACTTGGTCTCGGCGAGAGCGAACGGCGCAGCAACAGAGTGATGTTTATTTCCCCCCGGGCTCGTTTCGACTCCGACTTCGACCGGAAGAGGTGCGCTCTCGACCCGCGAATCAAAAAAAAGTTTCGACTCCGATTCGATTCGATTCGATTTCGATGGCCTCCGATTCCGATTCGATTCGGCTACGGATTCCGACCTGGCTTCCGATTCCTCAGCACAGGGGCTCACAAGCCTGCCGACCTCCGCCGCCTCGACCTCTCCCGGCGCGGCTGCCGGCTCCTGCCGAGCCGATGCGCTTCGAGCGCCGACCCGACTCATCGAGTCCAGCCTGGGCCCTCCTGCCCCTCAGCCAGCCCCCCCCCCCCTTGCCCTGGCATCGCTCGGACGTGGGCATTTTTTCTCGCGAGGACCATCGAGCACCATCCTGGACCATCGAGCCAAGAAAACACGCACGAAGCCGAAAAATGCGCGGGAAATGGACGTCCGAGCGACGGCGAGTCTGCCCCTCAGGACTGCCGCGCACCGCCGCGCGCCGCCGCGGCGCGCGCGGCGGCGGCGGCGCCGCTGCTGGCGGCGGCGCTGGCGGGCCAGCGGCGGCGGGCGCGGCGCAGCGCTGGAGGCGCGGGGCCGCGGGCGCCCCGCGTGGCCGCGGGGGCCTTGGAGGCGGGCGCCGCTGCGATCCGATCGAGCCGACTCCAGGGCGGCGCCGCCCAGCCCAGGGCTCGTTTCGATTCCTCCGATTCGATTCGACTTCGATGGCTTCCGATTCCGATTCGATTCGACCTGGGATTCCGATTTGGGTTCCGACTCCTTATTGGAGGCATACTAGCCTGCCAATTTCAGCCGATTCGACTTTTCCCGATTCGGCTGCCGATTTCCGCCGATCCGATTCATTTCGACTGCCGATCCGACTTGTCGATCCGATTCTGGGCTCTCCTGCCAGCCCGATGCGATGCGCTTCCGACGTCGCGGAGGTCCGCTGCGGCCCGGTGCGCGCGTGGCGCCGTTGCGCATCGCGTCTTGTCCTGGCGCAGCCGATCCGATCCGATGCCGTGTCCGTGCCGATGCGGCCCGGTCCGACGCAGACTCCGATTGGGTCCGACTTCCCGACGCCGAGTGATCTTGCGGAGGTGGACATGGACATGGCCAACGTGCAGCTGGGGGGCAGGTCGGCGGCGCGGCACAGAGAGGGCCTCTTGTGAAAGCTCCTCCCGGGGCTTCTGGATTTCTTAAAGGCCTTCTTGGAAAGGGATTGGATGTATCGATTTGGATCACCACTGGGGTTGCTCAGGGCCTAAGGGAGTTCTGAGTGGATGCCGAGATGGGTTTGATCTGGCTTAAGCCGGTTTACAAGAGGACTGCAAGTGCCCTCAGCGGCTTACGAAGGGCACAGACCCTTTAAGCCATTCAGGGCATTTGTAGCCCATACATAGGCTGGGTCAGGCCAGATATGACCCGCACTGGCGTCAACGTATGACCATCTTTCTCCCCTCGGTAACCTACGCGATGGTCCAAGTAGAAGCTCCTCCCAAGCCCTTCTAGACTTCCTTGAGGCCTTCTTTGTAAGGGCGTGGATACGCCTCAGATGTGCCTTCTTAGAAGAACACTCCCCTCGCGCGCCACACCCTTGTGCGCGCCGCAAACTGCAGGGCCTGGCGCAAGAACGAGTGGCCGCCGAAGAAGTCCGAGCACAAGGCGAGTATCAGCGTCGACGACAAGGGGGGGGCCCCGATCACCGCCGTCCACCAGTGGCCGTTCTACGAGATTCCCATAGAGGACGTCCCTATATTGGATGGGCCGTTCGACAAGGACACTCTGAAGCTGTACAAGGTGATGGACATGTCCGACAGCGTGCTGAAGGCGTTCATGCTGAGCAACCGCTGGAACATGAACAATGCGAGGAGGTCCGCCGGCTTCGACAGGAAGGGCATCGCCGCGCTCAGCAGCGCGCGGGTGGTCGTGCCGGCCCTGAACCGCATCTTCAACGGCCTGGGCGCCTGGCGGACCTGGCGGTCGGAGGCCCCGGACAGGGCCGACACCCGGGAGAGCTTCGACGAGTTCGCCGCGGAGAAGGCTTGGCATCGCTCGGACGTGTGCGTTTTTTCCTCGGCGAGGGCTATCGAGGAGCATTCGTGATCACTTCGCGACAAAAACCACGCACGAAACCGAAAAAAGCACAGGGAATGGACGTCCGAGCGATGGCCAGAAGGGCGCCGACGAGGACACGGCGGCCGAGCTGCGGGCGATCCTCTTCGGCGACGACCAGGCGACGGCGGCCCTGCGGATCACCGCCCTCGTCGGGACGCAGCGGGGCGCGGCGCTCGCCCTCTGGGCCCTGGAGCCCGACAGCTCGAGCGTGAGGCCGGGGAGCGGGGCAGAACCAGGGGCCCCTGTCCGACCTCGGGGGCGGCGTTTGTCAGCAGATGATCGTGGACCCCCAGGAAGGTGTAGGAAACGATTGGAAGTGGGCGGGAAGGCGAAAACCCAGAACAAAGATATGCGAAACTAGGGGGCATCCTGGGATTTGCCTCTGTTTCTTTGCGTGTCCCAGGGCCCCTGTACCCTGGCCTGTCATCAGGGACAACTTTTTTTTGGGGGGGGCAGGCTCAAGGGGGGGCGCATCGACCCTCAAATGGCCCACGCATGGCCGAGAGGGGTCCGATGGCCCGCTCCGCTCAGGCACGTGCGGCTTCGCTGTGCGGGGGGCCATCGCCGACCCATGGGCGATGCATCGCCGATGCAGGTTCGATGCCCCCCCTCAACGCGGCGTCCTTCCTTGGGGGACTTTGCACTCGGGAAAGGGGCTTCTGCGGGGTCGCAGGTCTCGGTTCGCCTTCCTCGTTCGTTCCTCGTGCGTTTCGCTGCATTCGTCTCGCGCGCAGGCGCCCTGTTCCTAGGGTCGGGGTCTAGCGTTCCCGCCCCCCGCACCCATTCTTGTCCCGTGCCTGCTGCAGTCCGCTTCCCTTCGGGGGGGGGGGGACGCCTGGCCAGTGCTCTTGGTGACCGTTCCTGGGTCATCGCGGACCTGGCCAGGCCGGCCTGCAGCTCCATGGGGCACCACACAAGAGGCAGAGGTTGCCTGCACAGGAGGCCCAGCGTTGGGCTTATAAGCAGAGCAGTTCCTTCCCGACTCCATCCCCCAGCCACGGTGGCAACGAGTAAGCAGACCCGATAACTGGCGCTTACTAAACGGCTCTGGACGTTTGCTGAGCAGCCTTGCCCCGTTCGATTCCTTCGGTTTGTCGCGTTCACCAAACGGCTTCGTGCGTCGGGGTGATTCTTAGGGGGGGGACTTTATGCCCTCGATCCCCCCCCCCAAGGCCAGTCTTCCCCGAACGTTCCCCCTCAGGGGGCCCCCGCACGCCCTTCCCAGGGCCCAACCCCAGCCCCGCCGCCGCTCGAGCCGTGCCGAGGCCGTGGCCACTGCGAGGCGAGGTGGGGGGGGCGGGGGGGGGGCCAGGAGGCCCACCCAGAGCCAGCCGCGCCCCAAGCCCCGTCCTCCGCGCTCGCTCCTCTTCCTCGTCGTTCGTCCTCGCTCCTCTTGGTTCTCCTCCTCCTCCTCCCTCTCCTCCTCCCTCTCCTCCTCCTTCTCTCCTCCCTCTCCTCCTCCCTCCTCCTCCTCCCCTCCTCCTCCTCCTCCTCCTCCTCCCCCTCCTCCTCCTCCTCCCTCCTCCTCCTCCTCCTCCTCCTCCTCCTCCTCCTCCTCCTCCTCCTCCTCCTCCTCCTCGCGCCGCTCGAGGAAGGCGGTTTTCCTCGAGACTCAGGCCAGTGCACATGCACACGGCATGTCTCAGGAGGGTAGGAAAAAAGCACACAGACACAATGAATCGTCGATCCCAGGAAGATGTGGGAAAGTGTGGGAAGTGGGGGGGAGACGAAACCCCAGAAAGTATGAAAAAGTACAGGGGGATCCTGGGATTTGTGCGTGTGTATTTGTTTGTGTGCGTGTCCCTGGGCCCCTTCCTTATGACTCAGGCAAGTGTACTTGCATGGCACGTCCCCCCCCCCTCCGCCGCCTTTTTCCAGCAGCGAAGGGCCGAACAGGCGTGCAATGGAGCCCCGACTTGCGTGTGGTCCAGCTCCCCTTTCGGGCCGCAACACGCCCCCCACCCTCCATGCAAGTCAACTCGCCAGAACCTACAGAAATAACTGCCTCGAGCGTCGGCCCCCGCGGACCCCCCGGACCCCATCCCATAGGGGTGCGTCCTCGTGGCCGTGCTTTTGTTCGCCCCTGTGCCTGTTCCTGGCGAGCCCGGGCCCCGCGGCGACCCGCTGGGAGGCCGAAGTTCTGGCGGCGCGGCACCAGAGGTTGGGGCGAGGAGGGTGGCCCCGTGTCCGACGCGGGGGGGCTATACAGATCCACCGCTTGGAGGATCGATGTTGGGAGACCTCGGCAGGAGGTGGATCTGAGCATCGGGCCCTCTGGGGCCCAGATCTATGCATATCCACCGCCCTCTGGGGTCTCAGAAGGTCAGTTCCACAGGCGCTGGGTATGGATAGATCCCCGCATCGCACTTTGAGAAGGGGGGGGGGCCTGTCGGTCGTTGAATGTAGGTGTTCAAGTGGCATTCGCCAATCCGCCGACCACCCGAGGAGAAACGAAGCCCACTGGTGAGGCCGTCTGCCTCTTGGGGCCCGTGTGGGGGGCCGGGGCAGCCTTTTGGCCTCTTGGGGGCATCTTGCGGGTCTGTTGTTCGCCTGCTGGCGGGAGCGGGAGTCCTCTGGAAGCGGACTCGAAATGTCAGTTCGAGTGCACCCGCTTGGGCCCTTCTTGAGGCTCTTTTGGAGCCCTCTTGAGTTGTCTGGGGCGCCTCTTGGGCAGTTATGGAGCTCTCGTGGGCGGTCTTGGGGCTCTCTTAGGGACCCCTTTGGCCATCCTGGGACGATCGTGGGGGCCTCTTGGGCCGCGTTGGACACTGTCGAAACCAAAAAGATGAATCTGCTAAGGTATGTTCCTTCGGATTGGGGGGCGATTTGGGTCTTGGGACCCTCTTGGGAATCCGTGTGGATTCCTTCTAGGGCGGCATCGAAGCATCGTGGGCCGTTCTGAGGCCATCCTGGGTGTCTGCGAGGCCTCCTCGGCATGGTGGAGCCCGGCTGGCGCCAGCTCGGAGGGAGCCCGAAGCATCCCGGAACCCATGGCGTGTGTACACTTCGAGGCTCCAGGGGGCCCCACGGGTGCACCGGCGAGCTCGTTCCTTCCCCCAGCCCGTCCCCTGGGCCCCCCCTTCCAGGCCCCCCCCCCCGGGCACCTCCCCTGGGGCCCCCCTTCCAGACCCCCCTTCCAGGGCCCCCCTTCCAGGGCCCCCCTGGGGCTCGTTCCTTCCCCCAGCCCGTCCCCTGGGGCCCCCCTTCCAGCCCCCCCCCCCCGGGGCACCTCCAGGGCCCGCCC